GTCATGCGTGATGTCATCTACGCGCAATTTTGCGTTTTTACATTATCAATCATATCATCCTAAACAATTTTCATTTCTCAATCATATTAAGTGGGCATAAACTTCCGGTCAAGGTTGAATATCACATACCAAAATATTTTGCGTGCGCATCATAACGCATACATCATGATCAAAATAAATGTTTTTTCTGTTCCCCCCCCCCCCCACATCTTTCTTTCCTCAAAACATTGATGACCCCATAATCATCTTAACCACTTGTCAATTCTGAATCATATTTAATTGGCATACACTTCAGGTCAAGGTTGAAAGTCAGGTACTGTACCTCAAATTTTGATCGTGCGTGTTACCATGCGTGTACGCGTGCGTCAACATTATGCCTATTTTTAATCAGTTATAGCTCCTTAAAAAACTGAATTTTTATTTATGACGTCATTATTTTTCTACTCATTTGAACGTATCTCGCTTATTCTTGATCAATTGTTTACTACCTATGAGTATGTTATAGCTGAGACAATTCTCTTTTGGAAATGTCCCTTTATTTTTCATTTTGATGATGTCATCATGGTCAAAAAGAATGAATTTTTGGAGTATTCTCATCTGTCTTTCTTAAAAGATGTAAAAAAAAACTGTATTTCGACGCTATCAGACTGATATATAATTCATATGAAGGGAAATATATGTGGCATTACCAACCAACAGGAGGTTTTAAATTACACTTGACAAGGTTTAATTTTGTGTGCCATTACTATCCTTGGGCACGTCGTAAGGTACTCGTACTTGTGCGTTAAAATTTGAAAATTGTGAATATCACTTTTCAGATAATTTAAAGCACATTTCAGGTCATTTTCAGTATTCCAAAAACTTTCCATAATTTACGCGCCGTACGCACAGCACATACTGAAGCATGAAATTACGTTTTGTTACATATTTTTGTTACACTGTATTCATATCATTACCGTGCGTATGGACGTCAAAACGTACGTGTACACATGCGTAAATCTTTTAAAATGCTCAAAATTACTCTTTTTTTAAAACTTAAGGCCTAGTTCAGAACTAGGTGGATAAATCCTGCTCAACTCACCGGGTTTATCCACCTGCTAGTCTGAACTACTGTAGGTGGCTCATATCAAGCCAGGCTGTGTTCCTATAGTAACAAGGCCTGGAGTGTTTTTCTAAGTCTTTAAAGAGACTTTAATCGCAGTGGGGGTGGGGGCCACATCTATTGTCTTCGGGTAAAAAAATGACCAAACAGCATTCAATTAAAGCATATTTTAGCATATAAATCTTATCAATTCGCACCACGTGCGCTTTCTGAGGGTCAAAGTGCCGCGGATCACCACTAAACTCGTTCTCAGTGACGAGTTCAAATTTAGTTTGAAATTGAATTGAATATATTACCAGTACTACATTGCACATGTACGTCATGATCATGGTGACACAGGACGGTATTTGGTTCTGTACACTCGAAGATGGATGATTCATCCCCACTGCATTCGATATCTCCCAAATTAATCGGTGTCCCCGACCAGATGCTGATTGTTGCCTGGTTGGTGAAGTTAGTTACGTGATCATATCCGAGACTTTGGCAGGTGAGGTTCGCTGCAAATTCATCAGCATGGATATCACAATATGTGCCCCAGGCATCATTCTTGAATACTTCTACAAACCCCGAGTGTATTGCTTCACCACTACTCAACCGTATGCCTTCTAAAATGAAGGAAGTTTCAATAATAACATTAATGTTTTGTTTGTTTATTATTTATTGCCCTCATTATAATATCACAACAAAAAACAAGTACATAAAACACACAAAAATTAGAGCAAGAGGATAACCCTATAAGCTCTATGAAAGAGAAGCAAATACAAAATTTAAAAAAATTATGTTTTTATTAAATGTTTAAGTACTGTAAATATTTAATTAGTGGGCTATGGATTGCTTTTTATATTTTGTAGGCGTACAGACCCCTCCAAAATTGAAATACCAATTATTTTAATACGATATTTTCGTTGTGGCAACTGAAAATATTTTTTAACACTAATCTTAATCTTCATATCTGTTGTGGACAGACAGGAGTAGCTGGCACCGGTTCACTAGGTAGCTCAGACATGAGATGAGATCCGTCTGCCTTACAATGAGATCCGTCTGTCTATCTGTGGGTCGATCTGTCTTATGTCTGTCTGTGACATTTGTGTTTGTATTTCAGGGAGCATAACTCAAAAACTACTGGACCGTTTAACATCAAACTTTCACACATTGACAATATTACATGTAACTCAGTCCTCCCTGATTGTGGTGCTCATCAGAAGTAAGATGTAGATTTTAGAACGTTAATTATTTATATAGTTTTGTCGCAACTGACAAAGCCAACTCGAGCGGATCGTTCGACTGAATCATTTGGCTACACCAGGCTGACTTGAGCGGATTGACCGACACAAGCGTACCGACCATGTGTCAAATCAATGGCTGAAAAACATTAAGAACACTCTTGTCGAGATTATTACTCAGAAGCTTCTGAATGGGAGGTTATACGGTTTTTTTGTTATTTCTCGTTTTGCTGTTCTGTTTTGTACTTTCTTTGTATGCTTTTCATATTTTATTTTGAAGGTTTCTTGAATAAATTTGAATTTTCTTTATACCCAATCATTAAAAAATTTATTTTTTAACATTTACTCTGGTACTTTTCTTTAATAAGCAAAAAACTTTAAAACAGTGAGTTTACTTCTAAAAGTAATGATCGATATAAATTAACAAAAACCAAATGGGGACTATCAGGGCATTACTATTTTTAGAATCATTACGTCTTATACAATTCAGTGCTATATATAATATACTGAAACTTATTATATTATTGTGGCTTTTCACTGAATTTATAATTGGCAAACATTTCTCTGCTCTCTGGGAAGCATATTGGTTATGCTGCAATACACAATCCCCCCCCCCCAACCGAATAGAATTCAGTTGTGAAGTTATTCACACCGATATTTTTTGTTGAATTTTCCCTTTTAAGGAGTGATACTAGTTTTGGTTTGGACTGAAGTATCTGCAAAAAACACTTTAATTTATTTAATCCTGATCCTACAGTGTTTTATGTTTTGCACTGGAAAAGCCAAAATATGGGTATAGGCGGAACTGTTTGGTTGTGTTTTATTCAGAACGTTAAACGAAATATGCTACGTGCCCTTGACAATTTTGTTAATTTAAATGCTGCCTATGTCATTTAAAAAAAATAAAGTCACATGATGGGATGTCTAACATCGTAACAGTAAATCAAAACTTGAAACTCATCAAAATGGGATCTACATGACGAAATAAAAACATATTTACCAGGTGCCAGACATCAGTACAGCAGCGATTTAATATGTTGGAAAAGGCAATCAAGCATGTAAACCTGTGATACTAGGCTCAACACTGCAAACAATGTTTACTCACAAATTGTTATCTTGCACGTTAGTGATGCTTACTTAAATTAGAAAGTTGAATATATATCTAACAACTAACCTTTGCTACATTTGATATAAGCTTCAGCATTGCTATCACAGTTTTCATTTCCGGTCATCTTATTACACTCTCCAAGGCTATCCTCATCCCCTGTGCATGTAATGGAGCTGTACACCTTATTGGAGTACATGTGACTGTATTGAATTGCAGAGCAACACATCAGGGGCTCTGAGTACGCTAGTCCCAGTTGCCGACAGACTACATCAGCTTCGTTTTTCCCAAAGTTATCACTACAAATACTGCCCCATGCATTATTGTAGAAAAGCTCAACGATGCCATCGGTTGGATTCTTACCGGTAACTAAACGAATTGGTCCTGATAATAAAATTCAGACAAAAAATAAGTCTATGCGTTGCACTGCAGCGCATTACTATACTATCAACTGAGGATATTCCCTTGAATATTAACAGACATAAGAGATAAATAATAACTTAACAGAATTATATATTTAAATTCATTAAACATATAATTCAGCTGGTTGCAGATCATTATTTATAATCTATGGGCTTGTTTTTCATAATGTCAATGGTGACGTTATCATTTTCCCTCACACAGTTACCTATTTCCGAGCCATAACTATTTTGACTAGCACCCACTGCACTGAGATATTATAGATCGTGATAATGTTACATTGTATACCTAAACTACTGTATATTTATCTTTATACAGTAGTTGCCTCCTAAAATTCCAAGTAACACCTGTTGTTTTAATCAGTCTGGAAAGTTATTGAAAATGATAACCTATAACCTATGAACTTACTGAATTCACATACGGTGTACCTAACCCAGAAACACACCATATCTTTCCAAAGTCCATTCAGTTGAATGTTCATTATACCACAATGTTCATCAGCATTATTTGATGGTTCATCACGGTCCCAGTCTGTAATGAATAACACATTACAGTTTAGCATAACTGTCACAATACTAGAACAACTAGTCAGAAATGTTGAGTGTACAGTATTATATAATCGGCCTAATGCTAACGAAACATGGCTGCAGTGAAGGTGCTATCACTTACTTTTATACGATGAAAATGTTGGTGCTACAGGCTTCCAGACACCTTCCTCATCACGATCTGTAATGCCAATCCAGGTGCTATCAAGATCAAAATCCTGAAGAATCTTAAAAATGAAGTTATTTTCCTCCTCAGATTCAATAATTACAATGAAACCTCCGAGATCGTTACATAGCTGTTCTCCTTCACTGAACGTCCTTTCGAGATCTCCTAAAATGTAGTAACAGCTATGTTGCCATAACTCCCAACCTTCTGGACAACTTTCTATAAAGAAAAATAAAACAAATATAATTATTGCTATGGCAACGCAATGGCACTGCATGAACTGACACAAGTTTCTTTTATTTATTTGATACATCTATGAATCGGTGGCACTCAATATCAATTGGTGCGTTCGTACAAACATAAAAAGGGTAAAATTTAACAAACAAAATTAATAACAATCGACTGTATAAAAAGAATTAATATTACAAAATTAAAGAAAGGTAGAAAAATAACAACTGAAATTAGATGAGATAAAAAATAACATTTCATACTCAGAAATACAGGTCTACTGTAATGTAAATGCTTAAAATAATTAACCTAAAAATATGAAATCTAAAGATGAAAAAGTCTTACAACAAAAAGATTATACCAAAGTAGGCCTACTTAACTAAAGGAATACAGACTACAATGTAGAGTCCACTTGTGATAAAAGAAGAAAAAAAAAAACAATTAACATTACACAATTTGATAAGCAACAATACATTTATACTATTGTTGTGAATTTTTTAGTTGTGAGCGTTTCTCCCAAGCATTCATGATGTAATTTTTACAGAAATTATCAAAAATAGAGGTAGATTCATAACAAATAAAAACTGAATCTCCTCCTAAAACATATTGAAGTTTAATATCTTCATTTGTGGTTGAAAAAAAAGGGGGAAAAAAATTATTTTGCTTTTGTTTTTCGACAAATTTTCATGCTTTTCAATTTGTGTCTTTGGATTCTGTTCAATGATAATTCCTCTTGGTAATGTCTGGATCATCGCTTGAGGGTTGTTGACATTCATTTTTGGTTGGTAACGAACATCATAATTCTAAATAGAATTTTATCTCATACTTCAACCAATCACAGTTAGTGGAAGCCATGCCTGTGGGAACTAGTGAACTGGCAAGTAAAACAACATACCCACATGAACAACTGATAAAAGCTTTGAGGCAAAAATACTTACCATAACCGACTACTCTCAGGGGCCTGTCTCTTATACACATCTAGATGTGTATAAGAGACAGATTTGATATAAGCTTCAGCATTGAAATCAGTACTAAATTAAATGATCTAATCATAGTAAAAACTGGCTCTCGGCAAATAAATTAAGCCTAAATATCAATAAAACTGAATTAATGATCATTTGAACTCACCAAAAACTTGCACAAATATCTAAAATAGACATTGACATTAATATTGATTGGGCTAAGCTAAACAGAGTAAACCATTGCAAACATCTGGGAAATAAATTTGATGAAACTCTGACATGGGACAAAAAAAAATTGATCATGTAAAGAAAAAAGTACTTCCTGGTTTATACTACCTGAGAAAATGTAACAGTCTGTTCCACAAAATATCCAAACAATGATCTACAACTCACTCATTTCATACCCCCCCCCCCCCCCCCCCCCCCCCCCCCCCCCACCAATTTGGATTATTGTAACATTGTTTGGGGTAGATGTAAAAAAAACTTCAAAACAAAAATTACAAATTCTCCAAAACAGGGCTGCTAAAGTAATCACCAATGTTAGGAGGTCAGACTCAACCATAGAAGCATTAAGAAAACTAAACTGGATGAATCTTAATAGTAAACAACATATAAATGAAGCAATGATGATGTACAAAATAATAAATAATGAAAGACCCAAGTATCTTAAAAATAGATTTCATGAGCACAAACCCACTTATGATACAAGATCGAATGCTACTTTAACCATACCCAAAATTAAGACGGAATATAAAAAAATAAGTTTTACCTATAGTGGAGCAGATATTTGGAACAAACTTGATATCAAAACCAGAAATGCCCCAAATAGAAATATTTTCAAAACAATGATTACTTAGTGTGTACTGAGTAGGCTAATTAAGAATCTTAATTATTGTAAACCCCAACCTCTTTCTTTTTAGTATTAATCCTCTTTATCTTGTAAGTATTCAGTAGTTTTTGTAGTCATTTTTTGTTAGTTAAAAGGACAAATGCTACCTTACTTCATTGTAGCTTTGTCATAATTTTGATTTAAGTCAAGTTTGTTTTAAGTAGTTTGTTAGACCATTTTTTTTTCTTGTACTTGATAGTTTATGGTGCTGTTATTATTACAATTGACTGTCAATGTGCAATTTTGTTTTTAATTTAGTTTAATTAGTTTTATACAATTGTATTTATATACCTCACAGCCTTTTGTAAGAACACCGAGTGGGTGAAAGAGTCTTGTGAAATAAAGATTATTATTATTATTATTATTATACTCAGGAAAATCGACCTCTCTCTACTGCTCAACATTTTTGAACTTGGATAAAAAGAGGCAGGAAAGGAGGCTACAAAGGCGGAGCTACACCAGCTGCTAGAAGACTAATAAATCATGATAATCTCATCGTCATAGAAACATCAGATAACCACAACCATACATCAGACTTCAAAATTTTAAAAATGATTTTTTTTTAATGTCAGATAGATATAGATCAAAAACAAAGAATTAATGATACGAGAATATCTGGATGACTCTTCTTGTGACATCTGTGTAATAAATGAATCCTGGTTAAAGGACAATTTGAATGACCATTGTGTAAGGTCTAGAGTCCTGAATTGAGATGGACTTACAATAGTTACTTCTAACAGGCAACATAGAACAGGAGGTTGGATTGCTATCTGTTAGAGATCAAGGGTCAGAAGAAGACCTTTGAGTTTATGACAAACACAGTCAAACACCACTTAATATAGCAAGTCTACAATTGCCAAGTCTACAATTGCCAATTTCACTATAGAATTTCTTGAATGGACTACAACTTATATTCCGACACATCAAAATATATCACTGACTGGCGACTTCAATATTCCAATTAATGATCACACAATTATAGATGTAATATTCTTGACCTGGTAATGACTGACAACTTTAGTAAGGTAAAGGTCATCACTTGAGACACGGCCCGTTCTTGTCTGTTCATTGCAGTGTGAAAGTGACTCTCTCGTGGTATAAAGACATTTCCCTAAAGTGTATTTATGTCCGAATAATTAGGGAAGTCATCGCCACTCCGATTGTGATCCACAGGTACGCTGATGAGCACGGCATTAAGCCTAACATCCACCACAAAATTTCATTAATCAACGATCTCCGGGATTGTTTATGTGACGTTAAATGTTGGATGGATGAAAATTGTTTGAAAATGAATAGTGCCGAAGCAGAGTTTTTATACTGCGGTTCAAGACAGCAACTTGCCAAATGACAGTACATGTACTCTAATATCATTGGAATGGTGAACAAGTGTCACATAGCAAATGCATGAAATACCTGGGAGTAGATATCAACGAGAACCTTACATTTAATTTATCTGCAGAAAGTGTTGATCAACTATAATCAGCTTTCAGAGTCAGTCTGACCCATTCTGTCTACTGATGCATGTAAAGTTGTTGTAGTTCAAGGACTCATCATCCCACACCTTGATTATGCAATGGATATTCACCGGATTGCCAGACTGTGACATCAAACAGTTACAAAGCATCCACAACATGAGCTGCAAGTTAATATTTAACAGGAAGAGGTTTGAAAGCGTCACCGAGTGTATGAAACAACAACATTGGCTACCAATACATCAAAGGATCGACTTCATAACGCTCACATTAGTGTGTGAGTGGACACCTCCTGAATATCTTCATGGACTAATAGTTACAGCCTGGAGAACTTTTGCTGACAGGTCGTTTGGAGTGACAGGTCCACAGTTATGGAACAATCTCTTCCAGCGTCAGGTCGGACTGAAAATAACTTCAATAGCTTTAAGCTTAAATTAAAACCTTTCTTTTCAACAAGTTTATGGACATTAATTTAAATTTCAATGCACAGCGCCTTTGGTAGTGTTTTTAACCTTTATCAAATTAGTAATGTAATGTAGAAATGTAATCAAGTCTCTACTTGAAAAGAAAAAATTCATGGGAAAAAATATCTTAAATTCCTCAATAATCAATCCAGACCCCTATAAAATAGGGGCCAATAGTACAATAGCACTGCCACCACACCAACACCAACAATAAGATGTCCCTGTGACCCTATTGACAATCAAGATTTAAGGAAGGGGGTGATGAAAGACAGAGACCGGACCAAGTCAACATCAGCATGGTGCGAACATTTTCATTATTTTGTACCTCTGGAAATGGAACATACATAAATTATCGTTTTAAATTGTTTAATTTGACAAATTCAATGAATTCAAATCTTATTAAAAATAAGATAAACTTATTTGACTTTTTTATTAATTTGTTGCAGTGCCCAGGCCGGCTTACCACCCCTTGAATCCGCTACTGTAATCCATTGAGATAAGGGGCAGGCCGACATTTATTGTGTACTTTCATTTTTTTTTTTCAATTTCAGCTCCACTCTCTCTCTATTATTATTAGCGTTAGTTTATCAACATAAACTGTGATAGCCCTTGTTTTGTGAAAATGAGAGAATACATGGGGAAGCGTGGGGGATAAAAAAAAAAACTTTGAACACAGGACTCATATTCACCTCAACCCAAACCATGGTGGGATTTTTTGAGAAATTTTAAAAAATAGACACCTTTAGATTCACAGAAATGGAACTTTCAGAGTGAAAAACACACAAATTAGAATAAGCTAAAATAGATAATCAAGAATGGTGTCTGAATGGCCAAAATGTAACATTCTTGCCAATCAGCAGTAACTACTTTTATTTTTTTTCAACCTCTGAAGGGGCTGCTCATGCACCAAGAGTACCCTTCTTGGATACTCCACTGACATTGGGATGTGCCTGTCGCCTTACAAACACTATGATATCCTTGCCACAACCAATGAATTACTTTAATTAATATTCTGATGTCTTACCACACTGTGTTTCATCACTCCTGTCAGCACAATCATATCGTCCATCGCAAACTCTGAACGCCGGAACGTTGAGACCATCGGGACAAATAACTGTTGACAAAATGTAACAAAGAATGACAATAAGTACCATTCCTGTTCAACGCCATCAAACACTGCATCCCCTACCTTAAACTGTATAAAATAGCGATCGTATAGGTTGCATTAGGCTTCGGAGCTACTCTCTTCATAAAATGAAATAAATAAAATATAAATTTTTATATTATTAGGAGTGTAAATAGGCTTAATTGGATTCTTTATTTTCAAAATCAATTATCACTTCCTATGTCTTCTTTTTATTCTTAAATATTTTAAACAAATTTAACGAATCTATTTACTTTATTATGGTAAACACTACTTGCGTCTGTCACAAACCGCGCTATTACAGTATCAACAGCATATGATGAGCATTCTGTATCGTTTCAGATCACTAGAGTAAAATGTAAAAAGAATAGGGCAAGACAACACACTGTGGCGCCCGAGTACTCACATACATCGGTTTTCATTTCGCCAATATGACAAACTGTTGTCTGTCTCTGAGGTAGGCCTAGTTAATTAACATAGATGTATCTTAACCTTAATATTTATTTTGTAGAGCTTATCTTTAAGTATATGAGGCTGGATGTAGTTAAAACGCTGGAATATCCAGCATTCATTCATTCATTTATTTTCTATATTTCAGATATAAATACCCATATAACAAAAATTATGAATATGAAGAAGGAAAATTGTATACAGTACTGTATATTCCTCAAAATAAAAGAAATTTAAATGGATATGGTGTAAAGGCCACTGGACTATATTCATTGACTGCTATTGGATTTTGGCAGTAATGCTATGGCTGATGTTGTTGTTTTAGCTGTGACCTTAAGCAAGACAACTTACTACATCCATCTTCGTCTTCATTTGTTCCACAATCATTAATAAGATCACAAACCTGGAGAGCGTCGATACATTTGCCATTACTGCACAAGAAATTACGTTCACCACAATCTATTAAAAGAAGATACGAATAAATTAATATTATTTCTATAGTGTAGTGACGATAACAAAATACTCTATAGTGAATTCTTACAGAAATGAATAATAGTAAAAAGGGCATAAATAGTAATGTGAAACTTAGCCTTAGACAACTGTAGTGCAGTTAAAGAGGTGGTAGTGACTGTGTATCGCCGAACTGTAGAGATCTTTTCAGACTGTAGAGATCTTTTCATTTGGTTGATGGTGTATTCCATTCCTTTGTGACATAAGTTTAAATATTGCAGTCTTTTGCATGAGATGTTTAAGTTTAAAAATTACAACGCCAACTATGAAGCAAGACTGTAAATACAACAGCTCCAAATATATTCAATTAAAACCAGCAGGAATAATATCAAAGATTTACCTAAAAGGTAAAGACATGGGGTAAAAACACTAAGATGCAAAACAGACAGGTCTTCAACCACAAATAACCATTGAGGCCAAATAAATTTCATACACCAGTTTCAGATCCAACCCTCCAACAAAGGACTTTTCTGTTACCAGGATAGGAAGCTGGCTGATTTAAGCGGTCTAATTTGAATTAGCCTTATGTGCGGTATTGTTATGCTATTGAGCCAGATAAGCACAATCTGCACAAAACTCTCCTTAGCCACACTGTGTATCGGTTAGGCGTACAGGTAGGCCTAGCTGAGAATTACGGTATGGTAAACAAAGCAAAATAAGGGTACTTATTTCACTTGGCATGCAAATCAATCATACTTACACACCTAAAAACAAACTAATCTAGATAAGATATAAGGCAAGTATGTTCACAAATTTGATTTTAAATTGATGTGATTTTGTTTTGTAGTATTATTATAATGCCACAACCTTTTCTAAATTTACACAATCTAACCCACGGGCTAGTTCAGAAACATCAAAAATTCATTGTCTTTTTAAGCTTCAAAAGAAGGCACTTAGGATATCCACTGGGGCACCTCCAAGATCCCATACAGGAGAATTATTTTATTCTCTAAAAACATTAAATATATTCGATATCAATAAACTACAAACTATCTTGTTTCATTTTACCAACAATCAGCTTCCTCCTCAATTTAACTCTTTTTTTTACAAATTTCAGTGAACTTCATTCTTATGGAACTAGATCATCTATTCAGAAACATTTCATCTATGAAAAATATTCAACAGCACTCTTATTATTGACTAGCAATATGTTATCAATATTACTACTTATCGACTAACAAGAACAGATAAACGTCATAATATTGCAAGTTTAGGCAAGTATCAAATACTCTAGTGTACTAACACATGTGAGCAACCATTACAGTACATGTTTAAAAACTAAACAAAACATCTTCATCAAGTCTTCTACAAAAACCAAATATCTTCTAACGCAGCGGCCCATGAAAATGTATTATAAACAGCAAGCCACCTGCTATGCAAATTGCATAGCACTAACACGCGAATGCAGATGTAACGATCTATGCAGATGTATGCAGCGATCCATACAAAAGCAAATCAATAGTGAATGCCACAAAGCTATATTCCAGTCCACAACACTATACACTACTAGATAGGCTTTTATCTTTCCATCTTCATTTTAGAGGTCAGACCTATTTTTTTTACACTGGTGTAAAATAGTCTTTTAAGAACATTTTCTAGGAAAAATTAATTTGGTACGATCCTCCGTTGTGGAGTTAATTTTTAAATAACATGAGGTCAAGAATTATCTTATTTTTGTTGGTTACACACCAATGACTTAGGTTGTTTGTCATCACTTCAACATGTCTACCAATTCGTGAAAAAGGCGTATTAAAATAAAAAATATTGGCATTTGTTAGCAATACATTTTAATTTTATATAGGTAAGTAGAAAGTATATGAATAATTCTAATGAACTAGTTAGTTGATAACTTCTACAATTTGTTTTGGGTCTTTTTTCTGCATCTTTATAAGCGGTTAGACATGGACCCCGACATGACATAGGCCCGGGCCTACTGTAGGCTAACCTATGTGATGTTTATCGTAATACTACAAAACAAAATCACATTAATTTAAAATCGAATTTTTGAACATACTTGCCTTATATCTTAACTAGCAGGTGATATTTAGGTAGATTAGTTTGTTTTTAAGTGTGTAAAGCCGCAATCGCACTGGATTTAAAATAGGGAAATTTTTACCGAGACTGTGGGTAACATTCCAATGGGTAAACTTCCTGTCGTTCGCACTGGGATTTATCGACGTGGTTAGTTTTACCACAGGCCATGGTGAAACTAACCATTCGTACAGATTCAACTATTGGGGGCGCTAAATCGTGACGTTCACTTCCGGTATGTGTGGCAAAACAATTAATGAAAGCGACGTTCTCCTTCTTGTTGTGACAGTGTTTCTTTGGACTAGGCCCACATCATGTTGTATTTGTTGATAATCGCGATGGATTGTCTCACCAAGACCTAGCACATTTATTAATGCTCCATATAAATCAGCCATTGAAACAAACTGAGTAAACAAGTGAAAAAAAATGACAAAATTACTCAAAATCAAGACACTAGCAAACACGCGCGAAATTAATCAAGATGTTTGTGTGTGACGTTTTATTCCAGGTCACAGATCATGCGTAATTGCCTGACAGCCTAAGGAAGGTCGTTCACTGTGATGACTTGGGAAGTTTACCCGACTCGCGCTGTTCGCATTGGACTTTCCTGCTAGGTAAAACTAACCTGGTCAGTTTTCCTGGGCAAGCGGGACTCGGTTAAATTAACCGCGCGGCTTGGGTAAGTTTCCTGTCAGGTAAACTTCCTGTGCTGTTTCGCACTGGACTAATTATGGTATAACTAGCCAACGTGTTGGTTAGTTTTACCAAAAAAAGTCCAGTGCGATTGTGGCTTAAGTATGATTGATTTTCATGCCAAGTGAAATTAGTATCCTTATTTTGCTTTGTTTTACCGTACCGTAATTCAGCGGCTAGGCCTAGCTGTACGCCTAGCCAATACACAGTGTGGCTAAGAAAAGTTTTGTTTTTCTGAGCATGTGCAGATTGTGCTTATCTGGCTCATTAGCATAACAATACCACACATAATGCTAATTCAAGTTTAACAGCTTAAACCAGCCAGCTTCCTATCCTGGTAACAGTTATAAGTCCTTGCTCCAATATGGGCCTTAACAAGAAAGTGGATTTAATACTCCTGAAGCTAGAATCGGTGAAGGAACTGATTGAAAAGATCGAAAATGAAAATATTTATTGTAGAAAATATTGTCCCTTGGTGCACTACCAATATTCCACTGTATTGGAAATAAGTCCTAGACTTAGGACATGCGTGTGCCATCCCAGGTGTATTATACACTGACAAAATTCAATCCAATCAATCTATATATTAAACATAATATTCTGTTATATGAACCTTTTATTTGTATTTTGTCCTGCTGATACTACTGAGCTTGGATATTTCATCTTTATATATATTCAGATTACAATGCATATGGATTAGAAAAGTAATAGAAAATAACAGGGCACTTACAACAGAAGAGTTCATCGTTTTCATTATCACATGCTTGGAACCCATCACACACCCATCGCTCTGGAACGCACAGTCCAATGCCACTTGGGTTACAAGATCGATCGTAGATTTCACAATCTAAAAGTGTAAAAAATTTAAATGCTGAGGAAATATGTGAAGGCCAATACATATGGTGGCTGCAGTCAAGATTTTGGAAATGAACATTATATTGATTTGAAGCTGTCCGCTGCGCCTGCGGTGCCCGGGACCCCTACGGGGTCAACGGTGCTCACAGGGAGCACAAAGCCGATGGGCGCATTTCTTAAGGACTAGGGATGAAATGCCATCATGACCAATAGCGCTTGTGTCAGACTAGTAAGTAAATCATAAACATCGTTTACATGAAATTCAATGCTACCTAAATCCAAGTTATTGTTTTGTACACTGACATCAGGAAAATATCATGATTTATGGGTTTGTTAAAAAGAGTAGCCCTGTCTTTGGCGTCAATAGCCGTTGAATTGTTATAGTTCCAGGGGCGGATTTAGGGGGGGGCCGGCCCAGCTCTCCCCGACGGGGCACCCCCGGCTGCTCGCTGGCACCACCCCTGGATTTACCCTTTTCATTGAGTAGAAGTAAAGTTATGAGCCATTATCTTAGTGGTGGCCATTTTAAAAATGGCCGCCAAAAAATATGCTCCGCAATTTTTCTGGGGGCTCACATCCGCTCATTTTTTTTTATTAATACCCTAGTAAAGTCAAATCAGCAGAGAAACCTTGGTCCCCGAAAAATGGTCATGGGGCCCTGTTTTTCACTATACTATAATGTATAATCTAATAATGCAATATTGTTTACCATTTAATTATGTGGTAATATTGTGAAACATCTTCAAAGAATATGTTAATAGAAAACCTATTAACGTCACATCTGTCGGTAGAAACATCAGGCAATATTGGGATCAAAAACTGCAATGTGATGCAAGGGTTACTCTGTACATATACCATATTTATTAATTTTAAATAATGTAACTAAAGTTGAATCGAAAGATATAAAATAGCACAACATGCATGCAGACGCCAAACGGAGATCAATTAGATATATATTTTTTCTTTACTAAGTTTAAATGCAGGATAATTTGGGAAAAAATGTACTTTCTGAGGTATTTCAATGTTTATTATGAAGATAGCTTCACAACTTCACAACAAAACTTACTACAATCTATTTCATCGCTCGCATCACCGCAATTGTCGTAGTTATTACATCGTAAGTCCTTCGGGATACAACGTCCATTTTCACATTCAAAAGTGGTTTCAGTACAATCTGTAAAATGTTTAAATTTTTATTTAGAAAATAGGGAATCATCATCCTTCTCCTGTTCCTCTTCTTCTCACCATCACCATAATATCACCACCATTATCACAACCATGGCCACCGCACTCATTATCATTATGATTATCATCATCTTACTCACCACTATCCTTTTCTTTACCATCCTCATCACAACTACCTCAACCACCACCACCATCATCAGAACC